CTGATAAGCAGAGCCTGCAGGACTGGACTGAGCTTCCTATGCACACAAGGTCTGTAGCATGGTCACTCAAATACCAAGACAATTTTACTAGTCCTTCAAGTAACTTTTCTAGAACCGGATGCTACACTGTACATTACTACTCAGTCCATCAAAAGGCACTGAACTCAAGGCCTTTTCAGTTTGTCTTGTAAGACTTGTAGTCTGCACCTTTAAGAATCAGGGTCACCTGTGTGTGTCATCTGGTTTGGAGTTTAGAGAGGTTCTCAATCACCAGAATAATGAATTTGGCCAAGGTAAATTTTGTTGTATATTGGAAAGATGGCTCACACTAATAGCACAATAGGTCTTTAAAATAGTCAAGAAATTACTAAAAGTCTTAACATAATTTTAAAAACACACCCTAGCATATTGCTCTTTGTAAAATGAAGGCAGCATGCTTCCAAATGTATGCCCTCCTGCACTTTGAGCTTTCAACTTGATCCATGCTGATTCATCAGCATTCTTGGTCTCCCCCTGTGATCAAAGCATAGTGTTCTTGGTTCTATTATTTCCAGCAGGCAAAATTTAGGAACTGAAAATTACCTAATGCTTAAATTTACCATCTCAGAAGTTTATATTTACAGCGAGAGGTAGCATGACATAGTCGGGAGAGCCAGTCAGGGTCAGGAGGACTGGGTTCAAGTTGGACCTTTGACAAATACTGCCTGTGTGTCTCTGGGCACATCACTTTGACCTTCTTGTATCCTCAAGTGACTCCAAGGCTAAAAGCTACAGAGCCCATACTTAGTTGTGTTGGTAGAGTGTTTCCTCACTGGCAGTACCCTACACTGATGAAAAAGTTTATGGCGTTCCTCACTGGAAGCTGGCTTAGGTTAAGGTAAACTAACATAACTGGTTTCATATGACAAAATGTGAAATCTATACTCTGTTAATCTATTAAACAGCTGACATTGACATTTTTATGACTTAAAATATTCAGTACTTATATTCACTTTAAATAAATCTATCTAGAAACTACGAAAAGCTCAAAGGCAACCTAATTTCTCTGTGGCCCAGACCACAGATGTTTAAGTCATCATCTTTGTTTTTTTCGGGGGGGGGGGGCTTTGGACAGGACCTGTGATTTTACCAGTGTAGAGGACATAGAGTGAGGAACTTACCCAGTCACTGAATACTGATCCCCACCTCCTAGGTAACCTATTGTCTTACAGAGTTGCCTTGGGGCACTGAAATTTTAAGGCACTTATCCAGGGTCACAGAACTAGTATGTGTCAGAGATGGAACTTAAGGCCAGGCGATCCTGACTCCCAAGGTCAGCTCTCTGCACACTAAATCATGCTGCGTCTCGTGGGCTTCCTTGATGAAGTAAAATATTTTCACACACATTTAGAGCTGTTCAGTCTCCTTTGCTATGTCATAAACCTGAGTAGAGAAGCATAGTTTCATTTACTCAAGGGGTAAAAATTCAGGTCCCCCAGTATCAGCAGATTTTCTTCTTCCTTACTTCGTTTGAGAATGTGGAATGAATAAATGTCCTCAATAAGGAACTTAAGGACAATCACAAGATTGTAATTCAATACACAATTAAGAGTTGCATACTATATGTTCCTTATTTATATCATTTGTAAAAATATTTTTTTAGCTATGGCAGCTTCAGTTATTCAGAAATTGAAACAAAACCATAATGTAAGCAAGACTACAAAACATTAACTTGAGAATTTTTTTTAATCTGCTTATCCAACATTTATTAAGTGAGAATAGTACTGTGAAGAGGTAATATTATGCTTATGGAAAATAATACGATAATTTAAGAAACAGAAGAGGAAAAATTAACTGTACTTATAATAAATTTCCCTTATGTTGATTTTTCCAGTGGAAACTGAATAGAATCTTAAATTCATGCAAATGGAAAATGAAGGTCTTGTTTAATTTTGTTTAACTGTTTCTTAGGGTTTAAGCGCTGAGCATCAGCACATGATAAGTAAAACATTATAGAATAACAGAATAGCTGTAAAAAATACTTAAATATATAGAGAGGGAGAGAGAGACCACATTATTAGTGTCTTAATGGGGAAAAAACAAATAAAAAAGGCAAAAAAACTGTAATAAATAAAAAATACTAAGTATTCAACCCCAGATGCCCAATAATTCTACTTAGTCCATTTCTACTCATCCCTTAGTTAAGAATAAGGAGGACAAATGTAGCCTACTTTCTTGAACTATAACAAGGCTCTCTCGCTCTCTCTCTGACTCTCTATCTAAATATACTGATTTATTTGTTTGTTTGTTTGTTGTAGTTCAAGTTTACATATATAAACTTGAACTACAACAATAACATTCAGGCCTAAATTCATATAACCAGAGGCTCTTCAAAACCTCTAATTTTTGAAGGAATGTATCATACTGGAAGTTTCAGAGCATCCAGTAGTTATAAGGTTCTTTAAGAAGCTAACTGCATGATTAGAGAAATACAAATCAAAACAACTCTGAGGTACATCACACCTATCAGATTGGCCAACATGACAAAACAAGAAAATGATAAAAGTTAGAGAAGATGTGGGAAAGTCGGAACACTAATGCATTTTTGGTGGAGTTCTGAAATGATCCAACCATTTTGGAGAGCAATTTGGAACTATGCCCAAAGGGCTATAAAAATATGCATACCCTTTGACCCAGCAATAGCACTTCTAGGGCTGTATTCCAAAGAGATCATACAAATGGGAAAAGGACCCATGTGTACAAAAATATTTACAGCAGCTCTTTTTGTGGTGGCAAAGAATTGGAAATTGAGAGGATGCCCATCAATTGCAGAATGGCTGAACAAATTGTAGTATATGAATGTAATGGAATACTATTGCGCTATAAGAAATGATAAACAGGCTGACTTCAGAAAAACCTGGAAAGATTTGTGTGGTCTGATGCTGAGTGAAGACAGTAGAACCAGGAGAACGTTGTACACAATAACAGCCACGTTGTGCAATGACTAATATTGATAAACTTAAACCTTCCCAGCAATACAAGGATCTAAGACATCTCCACAGGCCTCGTGATGGAAAATGCTATCCATATCCAAAGAAAGAACAATGGAGTTTGAATGCATATCGAAGCATACTATTTGCTATTTTTTTTTCTTCTACTGAGTTTTGTTTCCTCTTTCTGGTGATTCCTCCTATTTGTTCTAATTCTTACTTACAACATCACTAATGTGAAAATGTTTAATAGGAATGTAAATGTATAGCCTATATCAGATTGTACGCCATCTTGGAGAGGGTGGTGGGGAGGGAGGGGAGAAAAATTTTTAACTCAAAAGCATATGGAAGTGACTGTTGATAAATCAAAATAAATTAATTTTAAAAATTAAATTAAATTTTAAAAAAAGACCAAAGAGGAAAAAAAATAAAAATAAGAAAAATTAAAATTAAAAAAAGAAGCTAACTGCGATTTGTCAACCTTATAACTATTAAACTACTTGGTAGTCACTATATGCTTTTAAGAAAATTACTATAGTCCTACAAGGTCTACTATAGCTTTGACTGTAATTATCACTGATTTAAACAAATTATATATAATAGAGTTAAGATCAAGGTGTGTTACCTTAAAAGAACAAATAGGACCTTCCTTTCCACCCCAAAACACAACTGTACGAGTATCTTTATAACGTCTGCTTTCTATTCAGTTTCTATGGCACAGCTTCTCCATCACATTAAAGGATTTAAAAAAAAAAAGTACGGCCATACCATAGCTATAAAAACTGTCTGGAAAAGGAGGTATGAAGGACAAAAGATTCACTGGAGGAAATGGGTGGGAGGAAATAAAGTAGCTATCAATGCTACAACACTATATTTCATCTTTCAAATAAATTGTACATTTATCAAATAATGTACAAGTTTATCTTTTTCAGAAAAATAATGGCAAAAAATGGCTAACACTTATGTAGTCCTTACTATGGTGCCAGATACTGTGCTAAGTACTTTATAATTATCTCCTTTGATTCTCACAACAATCCTTGAGAGCTAGGTGCTATTATTATCCCCATTTTTACAGATGAGGAAACTGAGGCAAATATAGGGTAAGTGACTTGCCCAGGACCACACAGCCAGAAAGTGTCTGAATCTGGATTTGAACTCACATCTTCCTGACTCCAGGCCAAGTACTCTATCCACTGCACCATCTATTTTTAAAACCATATCAGAATCTTCTGTTTTGATCACATTTAAATAAGTATCTCATCAGTAATGCCCAGAAAGTTATTTAGAATATTAGTAGTTAGCAAAGCTTAAATTCTTCAGGAGAATTAGAGCAAGAAAAAATTAGATTTAGAAACCTAACTGACAAGCATGTGCCAGGCACTATGCTCGATGATGATGATGATGATGATGATAGCAAAAAAAAAAGTTGCTGATCTCAAGAAACTTATATTCTAATATGGGAAACAACATATACATAGATGGGCACATTCAGAATACACAGTGAAAGGTAGCACCAGCAGAGAGGAAGGTCTCCTGCAGATGGCACTTTAGTCACTAAAGAATCCAAGGGTTCTAAGTGGGGGCAGTGAGGAGAGAGAAGAATTGTAGGTATAGGGGTCAACCAGTACAAAGCCACAGAGAGAGGACACAAAGCATACATATGTGGGAGGAACAGCATGGAGGCCAAGATGGCCAGACCTCAGAGTACATAGAGGACAGCAGTGTAACAGACTGGAAGAAAGGAACCGACCAGGTTGTGAAGAGTTTCAAGTGTCAAGGAAGCTTCTGTCTGAACCTAGAATTAATAGGGAAACAGTCAAGTTCACTACAGAAGAGGGGGATAATATAAGTAAGTCATTTTGGCAGGAGGTGACAAGTATATGAACAAGCGTGGGGGCTGTGTAAGCAAAGAGAGGAGGGTATGTGTAAGATATATTTAGGAGAAAAAAATCGTATGATTTGGCAATTGATAGGATGTGATATAATAAATGTGAATATAATATATTATATATGAATATATATTGAATAATAAAATGAATATTAATGAGGGGGTCAAGGAAGACAACAAGGTTGTAAACATAAGTGAATGAGAAGATGGTAGCTTCCTCAAAAGCAACAGGGAAGCCTGGAAGAAGGGATGTGTTGGGGGAAGGTGGGGGAGGAGAGGAAGACAATTGTTTTGGATGGGCTGAGCTTGATATACCTACGGGACATCCAGTTCATGGTGTCCAATGGGTAGGTTAGGAGCTCAGGAGTCTAAGGCAGGATATGTAGATCAAGTGCATAGAGAGAACTGAATCCAAGGGAGCTGATGAGGTCACAAAGAAAAAGAGCACAACATAGAAAGAAGGCCCAAAACACTGCCTCAGGGCACTCTCAATGTAGGTGCAAAGAAATGAACAAAGATCATCGCAGAGACTGGGGAGGAGGGCTCATATAAGCAGAAGGTAAACTGTGAGACCAGAACCAAGAGAACATCCAGGAGGGGGTGGTCAACAGAGACAAAATACTGCAGACAAGGAATCTAAACAACCCCAAAGTAGACACTCCACTTTAGTTTCAACTATGAAAGGGTCTAAGAGCCCATGACATTAAAACACTAAGCTCTTCAACTAAGTTTCTAACAAAACAATGTAGTGTTAGGGGTTAGAAACTAAGTTAAATGAAACAGAAACACTCAAGATCAAATCCAGAGCCATGAAGCTGGTAAAGCTAATCAAGCTTGCCCACCATGTCTGAGCTAAAATGTGACCTAATTTCTGAAAACTGAAAACTATGTCACATATAAAAGCAAAACAGGAGGGCACAGCACAGCAGAGTTTTCCCACCGTGAAAGTCACTCCTTTGCATTGACCTTGGCTTCAAAAGGCCCCTTTAAAAATTCATCTACAATTACCTTACAGTTAATCTCTTAGTACTCTGTGAACACTGCAGATACACAGGGAGCCTCCAAAATACCAGGAACAAGATGGGTGATGTTCAACTGAGGGACTGGGGAAGAACCAGAGAGGGGAAAAGGAAAGATTCTGAGCACCAGACTCAGAATTTCGGGAAAACCTTGGTGTGAGGAGGGTATGCCTACTTCACAATTAAGACATGAGCCACACAGTGAGCCACACAGCTCTAATTCTAATATGTCTGGTAGAGAATGGGATATCCTCCTTATTAAATTCTCCCCCTATACCACCTCATTTCCTACTTTTAGGATATAACACGCAGAGTATGCAAACAAAAACACCGGGGAAAAACTGGACTAGATTATGGTGAACTAAGGACTAGGGAGTTTAAAATTTTGCATGCTATGGATTTTTGTTATTTATGTGTAACTTTTTCCCTGGGTCAAGCACACACATTTCAACATGCATTTAGTTTCCTCTGAAGGGATGTAAATAATAGAAAAAAATAGCAATCAATATATCTTTAAATATTGAGTCATAATATTTCTTCTGAAATAAAAAATTCCCAGCAACAATGAAATTGATACTTGACCTAATTTCCCATTGCCATGAGTATACATAATTGTAATGCTAGATTATGTATACTAATATAGCATATCATTTCATCTATAATTATCCCATTTCAACATTACTTAATACTTGCTATTACAGAAAGTGACACTCTACATGAAGTAGATAGTGGAAAGGCTTAGTTTCTAGCATCAGTTTTGTTACTAACTAGCTGTGACATTAACTAAATCACTCCATGAAGAGATTAGATGAAATGGTATTTAAGATTCCCTTTCAGTTTTATAATTCTGCAATTCTAAATACCATTTGCTGTATATCCTAACTGCACATTCTACGAGGTTCAGTTCAAGGTCCAAGACCTGGTCATTCCTTTGTGGGGAGAATGATTTAATAGGGATTAATGTCATCAGATGATGAGGTTTTAGTAATTTGTCAAGCAGTAAGAAGCAGAGCTAGATTTTGAATACAGGTGCTCTGAATCTAAGCCACTACTCTTTAAGACTATACCACTTTGTACTTGTTCTATGAAGGGAATTATAATGAACATAATTTTCAATTTATAAAAACATGCTGATTCTTAGGGACTCTGACAATAGTAGGTTGTAATCAGTTTCATTCATTATACTACTTAAAGGGAACATGAAATAACTGTCCCAAGTGATCAAGGTAAAGAAATTAACTTCAAAAATCACACATTTCATAGCCAAAAATAAATATCTTTTTGAAAAAAATTGTTAGCTCAGGTATAGGTGGTATTTCATATCATGAGCTTCCCTTCCCCCATCTACTCTTAAATTATGAGAAAGTTCCAGGTAATGATGAACTCCACTAGATCTAAACTAACATTGAATATTACAACTTCTTTTTGACGATATTCAGTTATCAGTATGGAAATTAGTCTTATTACTTCTTTCTATCATTTAAGACTAATGTTATTTCATTTTTGCTTCTTTTTTGTTTTTTTTAGGCAGTTGGGGTTAAGTGACTTGCTCAGGGTCACACAGCTAGTAAGCGTCAAGTGTTAGGTCTGAATCTGGATTTGAACGCAGGTCCTCCTGACTCCAGGGCCGGTGCTCTATCCACTGCGCCACCTAGCTGCCCCAAAATTTTGTTTTTGTTGTTTATGTGATTATTTGTGGTAATTGTTTATCTAATTTTTTTTTAAATGAGGCAGTTGGGGTTAAGTGACTTGCCCAGGGTCACACAGCTATCAAGTGTCAAGTGCCTGGTCTGAGACCAGATTTGAACTCCGGTCTTCCTGACTCCAGTGCCGGTGCTCTATCCACTGCACCATCTAGCTGCCCAAGATTAATGTTATTTCAATCATTTTTAAGGATTCCTATGCATTTTATTCTATTTCTAAACATATTTCAAGTTTACTTTTTCATGTTTTAAAACTGACGTTCTCGGTATCATGTATCACATCAAATGAAACGTTTACCAAAATAACTTTTTAAAAATGCTACTTGTCCTCCAGTTCCAAAAGGGTTTTTTTGTTTTGTTTTGTTTTTAATAGAGCTCAAGCTAATTTTGTCCTATTTTCAGTGAAAATGTTCTAATAATGTAGAAAATCATATGAATCTTATATCCCAATAAAAGGATTCCAAAAATAACATTCCTTCCATTAAGTATACTTCAAAAACTGAACCTTGTTAAAGTAAATGAAATGAGTTTTTCTAAATCTCAAGTCAAGCCATGTTAGGGCAATGGCTTGCCACATATTGATGGGCTGAACTTCTTTTCTTCCTCTCCACAATCTTAATAGCTCTAATCACATTAATCATATTTATTGCTGAGCAATGTCCCCACCATCTGTTACTGACATCATTCTATCTGAAAATATCCTTTTCTAACATCCCCAGCCTTGAGTATTTTGCACTTTAAACTTCAATAGAGAAAGAAAATAATTTAAAATTTGTATTTTTAAATGACTCATTTTGGAAAGATGGCATTAAGACAATACAATTGTATGAGTAAGAAATGGCTTACAAAAGGCAATTCTACCAACATGTTTTAAACTGCTACTCTCATATCCATTTGGCCAAATCCCCATATGCTTTGGATCTGAATAGTGAACATCTCCACTTAACAATACCAAATACTATTTAAAAATGTGTATTTCGGTAGTAGATGTACAAAAGGATCGATAAGCACCTGGAAATTAATTTAATGTAATCCAGGATAACTATTCTTATTAAGCTGTGAGTGCTTACTACTGTTTATTTTTGTTTGGAAAACAGAAAGATGTGCTTCATCATCAATAGCTGTTAGAAGTAACAAAATTATTTCAGCCATGTGTATAAGCCACAAAATTTTTACCAGTATTTTTTATAAATTTACTGAAAAAAATAAACACTTTCCTCACCATTGCATTCCTTTCTCATTACCACAGGATCTTAGATTTGGAGCTGGAAGGGACCCTTAAATCCATCTAGTCCATAACCCTCCTTTCACAAATGAGGAAACCAAGGGCCAGAGAAGGGATCACAAAAAAGTTAAGTGGCAAAGCTGGAATTTAAGGCCAGGTCAAGGCTCCAGATTTGCAAGACTACTATCAGTTGTTTACGATACTAATGCTTCTCTCAAACTAAAATATTCAGCCAGAATTCTACTAATTAAAAAATATTCAACATTGAGTCATAAGGTTTAAATATCCTCTAAGATATATATATATATATATATATACACACACACACACACACACACAAAAATCACTTAAAATCTGTAATGAATTTGTCATGTATCTTCATTAAATGGAGCCAATAATGAACTTTATGTTAAGATACTCCTTTCCCTCATATCTTTTCCAAATAAGCCTAATTCTTTACTACCTTTTTAACATAACCAGTTGGCAAAATTAGCCTCACTGTCCTCTCAAACTTCTTTCCACGGTGCTGTCTCCTCTCATATATATTGCTCTACACAGCATTTTTTTTTTAAGGATCAGCATAAAACAAAGGGCAAAAAAAAAAATGGCAAATCATCTTCCATAGTCTACTCATGACAAAGCATAGCCCTAGGAACATTCCCAAATCACATTTTCATTTGCCTTCTACACATTTCTATTAAACATCAACAAGAGCCTATGTAAATTTATACTATGAGCTTTCAGCAGCCATTTCCTACGTGTATTCCAACCAAATTTTTTGTTAATTATGTATCAATTAACACCAACCTCCCTAGATTCCACTCTTCCCTCTTTCTCCCCTTCCCAAATCTCTATCCTGATCAACTCTTCCTTTTACAGGAACAAGGAGTAAAAGATAGGATCCTCACATGGGATTGCATATATTTGCAAGACTCTAATTTACACTACTATATAGTGCTTACTCTACTTGATCACCTTTTGATGCCTTTTGTGTCCTTATTAAAAGGAAGGAAATTCAAGGCAGTGGTCAGTACATGGTCTCATATCATGGATATGATCATGGATATCATGGTCTCATATCTGGAAGATTTTGAGAATATACCATACAAATGCAGCTTAAGATAGGAGATAAGAAACTGCTATAAATAAGACTTTGTAAAGAAAAATATGTATACAAATGCTCTGTGCTCACTGGTACTTCAGCCAAACATGTAATTAAATCATAAATATTTATTTTAATTTTCAAAATGCTTCTTTTTGCAAATAAAGCAATTCACATTACTTTTGTCAGTGCTTTGTTTCTTAAATCAAATTTACCTGATAGACCCATAGTGAATTCTGATACCTATTCATTTTTAAGATGAAAATTCCTCAACCTTAGTTCTGCTTTTAAAACCATGTTTAGTGCTTTTGTGTCTTTCAGCCATGAAATAAAAAAATTGCTGCCTCAGAAAAGCTCTTTCCAATTCCACTACTGTATTGACAGAGGTCATGGGTTGTCTATTCATGAAAACCCACAATGATACCCATTTACAGTTCTCATTATCCTTCCAAAAGAAGGAACTGTTTCAAATTTCTGCACTGGGCTTCCTTGCAGGAAGCGCCTAGTTTA